GCGGGACTTCTGTTAGTTTCCCCAGGTAGGTAGAGGTCTAATATGTGCTGCGATTTAGTTTTCACGCCTTCAACAACGAGGCCGAGTATGAAGCTCTATTAGCAGGATTGAGAGTAGCCAGGTATATCGGAGTCACGAACATATTAATACTTAGTGATTCACAGTTGATTGTGAGTCAAGTGAAAGAAGAATTCCAAGCTAGAGAGCCACGGATGGCGAGGTACCTTTCCCAGGTAAGAGACCAGCTCGACCAATTCTAGAAATACGAGATCTGGCAAATTCCACGTACTCAGAATGGCAACTCAGATGCATTAGCACGGCTAGTGGCAGCTTATGAAACCGACCTAGGAAGAACCGTACCGGTGAAGATTTTACCAGAGCCGAGCATAGAGGTTCAGGAGGCGATGGATATAGATGTACCCGGTCAACCCGAGAAGAATTAGATGAACCCTTTGATCGGGTATTTAAGAGATGGGACCCTACCTGATGAAAGAGTAGAGACCCAGGAACTCCAACGGTGAGCAGCTAAGTATGTGCTTAGAGATGGAAGCCTGTATAAAAGAAGCTACTCTTTGACACTTTAAAAATGTTTAGCGCCAGAAGAAGCCGACTATGTTATGAGGGAGATATACGAACGCTTTTGTGGTAACCATTATAGGGCACGATCCTTGAGCCACAAAATCATCCGACAGGGGTATTATTGGCCGACCATGCTAAGCGATGCAATACAGTTCACGAGAAAATGCGACAAATGCCAGCGGTTTGCAACAGTACCTAGGCAGCCGTCAGAGCCATTAACCAATATAATAGGTCTCTGGCCATTTGCCCAATAGGGAATAGACATCATAGGGCCCCTCACACAAGGAAAAGGCCAGACCAACTTTGCAGTGGTAGTAGTTGATTATTTCACCAAATGGGTCGAGGCTAAAGCCCTAGCAATAATAACCGAGAGAAGATCACTGATTTTATTTGGAGAAGCATAATTTACCACTTTGGGATACCCTACACCATTATCAGTGATAATGGAAAACAATTCGACAATGCAGCTTTTCGGGACTTTTGCCGAGAGTTAGGTATCAAGCACATTTACTCTTCGCCAGCACACCCGCAAGCTAACAGTCAGGTCGAAGCAGTTAATAAAATCATCAAAAGAACTCTAAAAACCATATTAGAGAAGCTTAAGGGGTAGTGGACAGAAGAACTTCTTAGTGCACTATCAGTCTATAGAATAACACCCTGCACATCAACTGGTGAAACACCATTTTCATTGTCATTTGGTTTTGAGGCAGTAGTGCCAGTGGAAATCGGACTTCCTTTCCCGAGGGTAGAACGATTCAATCTACCTGAAAACGACGAGTCTATACAACTTAACCTCGATCTACTTGAGGAACATCGAGAGGTAGCACGACTACGAACAACCAAGTACAAAAATTGGATCGCTCTGTATTACGACTCGAAAGTCAAGAAGCGCAGCTTCAAAGAAGGCAACTTGGTCTTAAGGAAAGTCATGCCTAATACAAAAGACCTGACCATCGGGGTTCTTGGACCAACATGGGAGGGCCCATACAAGGTCACCAAAGTGGTTCGGATAGGCACTTACGCCTTGGAAGACTCACATGGAAAAATCCTACCTCATCCATGCATGCACAACATCTCAAGAAGTACTACCACTAGTCTGGTGACACATTCTATTTATTTTATGAGCGACTGTTGCACTTGTTTATGTCAAACGACCGGTTATTTTATTGTGTTAGAACAATTTTTCGTTTTAATGAAAGTTTACGCCATTTAACATGATACTTGAGCTCTTATGTTTATGTGAAAACAACTTTCTCAAGTAGGGGGCTGTTGGGCCTCTACTTAATAGCTAGAGGGTAAGTGCAAGTGCACACTGCCACAAGTAATAATCTGGAAATATTCCAAGTTCGTCTCCACATGGACTAGTTTTCTTTTAAAATTTATTTTGTAAACTGCTTGAATGAACAATCGAGTTTGAGAATAAAAATTGGTGGAATTGTTGGGAACATGAATTAGAAACACAGAAATTAAAAGGTCAACCACCCTACTAAGATTTAGTTCTAAAAGATGAATTACACCTATCAAATGTGCCCATAATTAAACTCAATTTATGCAAACTGGTTCAACTCCTATTCCATACCGCTGTTTGTTTGTTTAGAAGCTTAGGCTAGTGTTTACATATGTCTATGCAACTCTAGAATCCTAAATAAATCAAGTTCCAACTTACGTTTAACGGGTAAGAGAGCCTATGTCTAGAATCTTGTTTTAGTTCTTATTTCTAAGTAACTTCTCGTTTTACCTTGATGAGATCCGTTTAACTCTAACCTTTTCAGAATTAAATTCAAACTAATGTGATTTAAACAAGTGGCCAACAAGAAAATCAACTGGATAAATTAGATCAATCAAGATAAGCAAAAGATAGCGTAATACAAAGTCATATCCTGCCGCCACGTGGAATACAAAGTCATAACTGCGTAATGCAATTTTTCTCTTGTAATAGGTCTTGCCGAGCTACTTGAGATCCTGCATATCCACTCTTTTTCCTATTCAAAGATCAACCTTTTGTCTCTGTGTTTTCACATCGAGAATTCTGTGCAGATGAAGAGATGTCAAAGGGGCTGTTTAGTTCCCCGCCACGTGGCAACTGGCCGAGATAACGAGGTGCAAGCTCAAGTAGGTCGTTTTTGGAGCAAAATTGCATACTTGAGTCAGAGGAATGAAGGTCCTTTTATAGGCGAAGTGAAGGGACACATCCGTTACAGCCGTTACAACTAGGTAGTTGGATGTCGGGCCATGGGTCGATAAGGCCTGAGGTCGGCTATTCATCATTTCATATGGATGAGCTTAATAGCTCGGCCATGGATGAGCTTAGGAGCTCCACGATAGATGAGCTTAGTAGCTCGGCCATGGTAAGCTTAGGAGCTCGGCGATAGATGAGCTTAGTAGTTCAGTCATGGGTGAGCATAGGAGTTAGACGATAGATGAGCTTAGTAGCTCGACTGTGAGTGAGCTTAATTAGGAGCTCAGCCATGGGTGAGCTTGAGAGCTCACTGGTAGGTGACCTTAGTAGATCGATCATATCTCGCCACGTGATAGGTCATATTTTCGTCTCAACACCATGCATAAATTTTTAGAACAAAAATGATAACAATATTAATTATGAAATAATCATTTTTCATTCATACGGAAAACCTTAAAAACAACTTCTAGAAAATGGTTAATATCTATTTTCGAGATTGTTTTAAGCATTTTTGTTTCCTATTGATGTTTAAAAATAAAACAAATTATTATTTCTAAAAATACAATGTTGTATTATTGCTAGACAACTTGCTTTGAGATTCATATGAAAAACCAAAGAAAAAAGTCCTAGGCTTCAATAAATTTTTAGGAGAATAGAATTGGAAAAGAAATTAAAAAAAAAAACAAATTAAGTGAGAAGACTTCATCCTTTTAGGAAATAAATAAATAAATAAAATAGAGAAGATAATTGTTGATATAATTGCAAGAGTTGATAAAAAGATATAAAAACTATTAAAATTATAAAACCTTTAAATTCCATTAGCAAGCTCTTAAATTTTAAAACTAATTTTTAGAAATAAATTACGAAAAGTTTTTTTATAATATATCTTGATCTATTTGAATTATGCCCAATTGATGGATGATACATATATATTTAAACACATAAACACGTAAGCATACTCAAATTTATATAACCAAAGTCATACTTAGAAAAAAAATATTTGAAAGAATCGTAAAAATAAAATTAAATTAGTTTATAAGATATAATTTGTTTAAAGTCTAAAATATCAAATATTAGAGTAAAAACTTACAATCTTCCTCTTATTTAATCTTGTCTAATTCCCATTGCCATATATATTTACATCAATTAATGGAGAGAAGAAAAAAGAATATTGCAAAATAGTCAAATATTTACGCAGATCTTTTTTTCTTTTTGTAATTATTTTATTAGTTTTTTCTGTATTTGTTTTCCTTTATTGCCCTTGATTTGCAGGAATATTGTTTCGATAGATTAGATTCTTTCCTAATCTACAAGGTTAATAAATCTAAAAAATCTTTTCCTATTTTCATATTTAAAATCTATTACATTTTTAAATATATTAATTTCATTTTATTTTAAATCCTGATCTCATTAAAATCTTCCTAATTTTGCCACCGCCTTCTTTTTGTGTATTTCAATTTTTTATGGGTTTTAAAATGTTTTTTCTTTTTCAAAATAATGTTTCCTCTTTCTGTTAGATAGATGGAATAGAATAGTATCTTTCACTTTTTTATTTTTTTTTAAATTGAATTTATATCAGATTTTTTTTTTCAGAAGTGAAAGTCACTTTCTTTTAGATTTTTTTTTTTAAGAATTCTTTTAGAAATTTGAATACAAAAGGAAATTTCCAGTTTCCAACAGTGCAATTTTATTTATAAAAAAAAGAGAGAAGACAGAGTTTTCCACATTCGCTACAACTTTTTTTTATTTATTTAAAATAATGATTTCGCTAGTTCATTATGACTTCTCGATTCTACTAGTCATTTGCTTGCTCGAGAAGGGACAAGTTGAACAAGCAAGTCATTCAAATTTATAGAGTCAGAAAGTTTCAAAACAACTTTAAAATTACCTTAACTTAGCTATATTATTGCCCAAAAAAAAAAACTTTTAACTCTATTATTTTGATTATGATTATTTTATATTAAATTTACCATATTTTAACAACAAATCTCCAAAATTTTCACTCACTATATCAACAAACAATATATTTCCATATTTGATTGATGTAACCACCAGCCATGTAAATATTTACTCTAAATAGCCCAAAAAATCATGGGAATTCCGAATTCCTTCAAAGAAATTCAACTAGGAAAAAAAAAAAAAAAAGATGAACAATTAAGCTGCAGCTGATCATAATCCCTGAAACTAGAAACTCAAAAGATCTGAGCTTTTTTGGCAAATGTGAAGAATATTGAGTAGTAGCTCAAGATTCAATACCTTCTCCATCTTCCTCCTCCATGGGCGGCAGCTGGTTGAGGTCAAAATCCAGCATCTTCCGACCGCACGATTCTCGAGGCCGCGACAACCGTGGAGCGGAGTACTGGCAAGTAATGACACCCATGTCAGTGTCAAGGTCAAAGTGCACCTTCTTTCTCGACGAGCTTTCTTTCTTTGGAAGCAACATAAAATCAGAGGTAGAGGCGGAGGTGGTTCTCTTCCGCCCTCTCGGGGCGGTGAGAGACCAGGCCGGAGCTGTTGTCGTTACAGTATTCGGAGGTTCAATCCCTCTCCAGGATCGGTCTGGATGAGTCCTCATGTGACCATACAAACCCTTCATGGAACAAAACTCCTTCCCACAGATTCCACATTTAGGCTGCTTCTTCTTATGAAGGCCGCCGCTGAGTTTAATCCTAGCTGCAGATTCAACCTCCATAGCTACAAACCAACAAACAAAATTAAACCAAATGATCAAAACAAAAACATTGTTCAAAAATTAGAACACGACCGATTTTGTGTACCTCGGAAGACACAAATTAATGGAAGAACAGTACTAGAGAAATGCACAGCTTAATGAGCTACAAAAATTTAGCTTCTTCACTAAGTTTGATTTTAATTTAGTTTAATTTCCTTGTTTTTCGTTGATATAAGGAGAGAGAAGATATTGTGCAATTTAATTAAGCAAATTCTGTTAGTGACTCTGAGAGATAATTAAGGAAAGTTTTTGGGAAATCACTGAAATTTCTCTCCATCAGATCAATATAATCACTCCCATTTAATTATCTCACTAATATATATATAATATATATATATAAACTATAAAATTTAACTTGTTATGCCTCCTTCTACAACATCAAATCTTCCAACCCCTTTCCTAATCTCTATGTATTTTGTTGATTATGGTTTTTTTTAACAACTTCTCGGGTGGTTAATCAGTTGAGCTATGTTAAAACATAGATTGAGAACGTTCGATTTTATAGTACTAGTGCATGTGTTGAATAAGTGTTTCCACGGTCGATTTTGTATTTAATATATACTTGATCTATTAGATACATTTTTTCATTTAGGAAGTATTACGAACAAAATTAAAATGTCAAGATACATATGAGATCAGAACCCACTTAAGATATAAGTAAATGAGGTATTTGTTTAAGACTCTAATCTAAGAAGTCTTACACAGAAGGGATATATTTTAAATATTACTTAATAAATAAAATGATAATCAGTTATCAATTTCATTAAGATGTATATCTTCCACCAAAAAATTTGAAAGTTCGAATTCTCACTCATACGTATTGTTGAATTTAATTGAGTGATAGTAAGCTATATATTATAATAATTTTAATTTCTAAGTTACGTAAGAAATACTCAGACTAAAAATATTTAAAATATTTCTAAGTTTAATTTTATATTGAAATTGCAAATGTTAATGCTTTTTTGCTATTTTTTTTTCTTTTTTATAATTTCCATTTCTTTTTATTCAGAAGCAAAATTGAGCAAGGACATTCAGGGGAGGGTTTCCTGTAGGCCCGGGGCCCAAATCTTCGGATAATCTTTTTTCAAAAAAAGATATTTTTAAAAAACTTTATATAGATATTTCAAATTTAAAAAAAATTAAAGAAAATACTTAGCTCCTCGCACTCCTCACACGGTGAATACCAACCTTACCGTCTTCAAAGAATTGGAAGGACAATTAAATAGATGAGCAATTATAAATATTTTAATTTCTTCAAACAACTCATTAAACACAAATTTAAAAATCTATAGATTATAAACTTTAATTTAAAATAAATTAAATTTAGCTAATTTTAATTAAATATAAAAATAACTCGTTTAGTACTTTAGCTCGAAGGCTGAATCCCACGTCGGTAAAATTAAAAATAAAAAAGATAGCAATAAAGATATAATCTAAAACAAAATCAAACTGGGAATTAAAATCCTCAAATCAAATTCTAGAAAACCACATTCAAAATCAAATTATGGACAATCTTTTCTTCTTCTTTTTGTTTAATCCTCTCTGTGTATTAAAATTAGCAATAAGGAAACAGAAACAAAGTGGGAAAAATTAAACCCTCAATTAGTTTTGTTATTATATTCGCAGCTGAATTTCTCTTATTTCTCTTTTGTGTGTGTTTCGATGGCCGACGGCGGCAATAATGGAGTTGTGATTGAGGTGAAGCTCAGCATCAACAGCTCCAAATGTGGACTCTGCGGTAAGCTTTTCAGAACCATGAAGGCCTTGTATGGCCATATGAGGTCTCATCCTGATCGCACATGGAGGGGAATGCACCCCACCCCGAGCTCCTCGTCCTCCTCCGCCGCTGCCTCTACCCCGCTGCCGACCTGGTCAGTCACCGGCAGAAGAGGGCGGAAGAGGACTTCTTCTGCTGCAGCCTCGACTTCTAATTCTAATGATGAGCATGACTCGTCATCGAAAAAAAAGGTGCACGTGTATAGATGTAATGTCTGCGGCAAGGAATTCTGGTCTCCACAGGCGCTGGGAGGCCATAAGTCCAGCCACTACAAGCCTGAAAAGACCGACTTTGTGGTTCAAACGTCGTCGAGTGGTCGGAGGACGGTGGATTTTGATCTGAATGAGCTGCCGCCGATGGACGATCACGGTGAAGGTATGTAAGTTGAGTTTGAGTTCTCAGTGCTTTTGAGGATCTTCACTGCCGTTTTTGTTTGCTTTTTTATTTTTCTTCTCTTTCAGCTGATTGATGTAAATATTGGCAGTGGAAATTATATAGATTTTATTTGTATATGATATTTTATGTTCATCAAATCTAATTATTTAGATTAATGTTATTCCACACCTTTCCAACTTGTTTGGGATGAATTGGGGTTGGACTTACGGAAAAGTTAGCTCAATCCGTTAGTTATGTATGATCTTGACTAAAAAATTGAAGGTTCGAATCTCTATCTGAACTGAAAAAATAATAAAGTATCTAGGAGTTTATCGAAAAAAATCAAGCTGGGTCAATAAACATGTTCCCAAAAAAAAATTAGATTTTTTTTTTTAATAAGATAGAAGGATTCTAAGAATACGCAAACATGACTAAGAAAACTTAAAAAATTATCTTAAAAAATTAATAGGTGACATTATTCGCAAGATCAACTTGATCTTATATTTTTTTTATTATTAACATCTTACTAATCCTATCATTAATCATCATTGTACAATTAAGGTTTAAAACATCATGAAATATATGTGTTATATGTATTTAATCTCAAGTACTAGTTTCACGATACGATAATTTTAATTTATTTCATAAATATTGGTCGATATTGAAGTAAAAAGTATTGATATAAAATTTGCCGAGCTCACGAGTAAATGATTCAATCCAATCCACAAAAATATAAAATAAAAATTTTACAGAAAAATAGTTTAGAAGTCAACCATATCTAAATTGAATAGGTTCAAATTCTCATACCACAATTTGTTGTATTAAAAAGAAAATCTGAGATATTAAAAAGAAAAAAAAATAGAGTCGTATTCATAAGCCTACAAATTCCCCGCATCCCAATAAAATAATCATAATAAATAGTAAAAATTAAAAATATGTTTGGTAACACACTCTGTTTTTTTTTTTTATAAAAAATCTTTTATATCTATGTCTTGAAAGGAAGAAAAAAAACAAAACAAAACAAAAAACTTGATTATGTTATTTCCAAAATTTCTATACAATTTTGAAAACCAATGAACACAAAAAACAAAAAAATAAATCATCGTGCCAAAACCAACATTAAAATTGTTCTTTTAGAAACGACTAAACCAACCACCAAACAAAAATGCTAAAGGAAAAAAAATGCAAGGGGTAGAATTGGAAATTTTCCTCAATATTTACATTATTTTGTTTCCCAAAAGTAGTGAGTTTTCAAGACCAATGGCCAGTCACAATAACACATCATTTTCAACAAAGAAATAAGAGAATTATACCATTTTCCCACACCAACTTCTCCCAAAGTAAAACTAAAACTAAACTAAGATCTACTAACAGTACAGTACCACTGCACAAAATCATATCTTCAATAATTAGATCACAGTATACCATTGCTCATATGCCTGCACTCCAACCCAGCAATCAAATAACACCTTCAGAAACTAGTCGATTTCTCCAACTCGACTCGAGGGTTGAGAGACGGCCTTAATACCATATAGTTCAGTCATCAAAGATTGCAACTAATGACATAAATATATAATCCCGGGTTTGATTATACCATATGCGATCCATCGAGAGCTTGCAACCTTTAGATGCTCTATCAATTGTCTATCAAAAATCAGGACTACAACAGTTACAAGAAGAAACAAAAGGAAAAGAAAAATCCCCCATTAAACAACTTACAACTGGTTCCTACCTGCCCCTTCCTCCTCTTTTTTTTTTCTCTATGCAAAATGATAAAAGGGAATGAAACCATTTTAGCTTAAACACTGTTCAATTCACAAAATATGTATCTCCTTTCTAGGCTTACTTATGTTGGTACAACTAGTCCTGTAGGTGAAGGCATTTGCAAGACAAGAAGCCAGAGAACGAGGATCAAGAGTATCAACTGCAGAAACGCACAAGAACTGACCTTGAATACTTCCCCACGAGTCGTCAAAATCTCTTCCGTCTCCATTACGTCGCCACAGTATTTTTCTAACCCCTCGGCTCGTTTCTTGAGCGTCGTAGCTTTACTTTCAGCTTCTCTAAGTCTGTTCATCATCTGTACTTGCTCATCAGCCAAATTTTTTTGGTCATCAATTACAATAGATCCACATTTTAACTTCTCGATGGCTCTTGATATTGCCAAGTATTCAATTTCTGCTTCAAGTCTTTGCCTAAAAAACCTCTCGAACTCATCCTCTATTTCCGTAACTTTTTCATCCCGTGGCTTGGTATTGTTCATGGAGGATTCCAACTCAGCGACTCGGGATTCCTTCGATTTGAGTGTGGCCATTGTCTCTTCTAATCTGTTCTCCAAAAATTTTACCTTTCCTGTCAAACCCAGAACTGTGGCTTCGAAGGAACTTGAAGCAGCCTTCCCAGAGCCCATTTGTGAAGATGAACTTGATTTATGTGTTTCTGGGTTGTCATAAGAAAAATTTGAAGCTTCGGCATCATTGATTACGCTGGAAGATGGTATCTCGTCCTTCCCAATCTCCCCTAGTTTCTTGATTTCTGGAAAGTATATAATAGCACCATTAGAGGTCACATTGTTAACTCAACTGAAAGAAGCAAAGAAGCTGACATAATCTGCAGAAAACCCACTTCATAGAAAAACTAACAAGAAACAACCAGATCTGATATGTTTATATTCCATGGGTGTAATTGAAACAAACAACAATCAGGTTTGCAGCTAAATTGTTAAAATTATTATTTGTTAAAATTTCAGTGCCATGATACTTCCATCTCGATGGCAAACAAAAAACATCTGAAGAAAAATATTCTTAAATTTAAAAAGAAAGGGTATGGGTATAAGAACCTTTTTCAAGCGCATGTTGTGCAGACTGGAGACTGAGAATAGACTCATCCATGGGATCCTTATTCAAGGGTGACCAGTGATTCCTATCTTTTTCTTCCTTAACTTCCCAAGGCAAGTCTGCAGCTAAATTGTCAGTAACGTCTTCAGCTTCTACCTCCTCTTTTCTATATGTAGTTTCAGCTTCTTCGCTAAACGGTTGATCGCCTGCATAAGCTCCGTCGCTGTTATCTCCATCGTCTGTTATAGACCTTTCATTTTGGTTTCCATTAGTAGCAGCAGCAGCAAGAGTGCCCTGCTTAAACACGAAGCAGGAGCTCCTTGAGTCGGACTCGATGCTAGACTGGGAGTTCTCCTTCTCAACTTTGATCCTTTCTCCTCTTGCTTTTTTACTACCTTCAATACGTGTCTTTCCCAGATGACCCTTTTGACCAGAACTACCTATGTTTTTTCCACTGATGCTCTTTATCATGTTCTTATCCCGCACATGTCCGGAAACAGCATCGTACCTCCCCTTCGGAGCACTGGCTGCTGTGGAAGATTTGCTGCTCCGATCCTCGCTGTTTTCAGAATCTGTGCCAGGATTAAAAGCAGACCCCACAGCAAATCTAGAATTGGAGCTAGAACCATGGAAAGGCAAGTTGTCGACATTTCCGATATTCCTCAACGGGTTTGCAGATCCAACAGAACCTTCATTATTTTGCTTGGTCTCAGGCGGAGAAAGTTGAGGCTTGGTTGGGTTTTCAGAATTGGACAGCGCCCGCTTCAAAATTTTACTAGTATCTTCACTGGCATTCATATCCTTTACAAACTTCCTACGGATACGCTTCCATTTCTTCAATCCATAACCTTTTGTTACCGGAGAGGGACTCTTGGGTGGCGATTGGGTTATCGAAGGAGGGGAATTCAGAGGTTCTCCGCTCTTAAAATCTCTTCCCTTAGCAGCACCAGGAATCGATTCGATGGCATCAAAAGCAGTATCAGCATCATTAGCACAAGTGCCATTGATCCTGATTCGGCTGACATCATCAAAGGGGGTAGTTTCCTGGTTCACTTCATTATCTTCCACGGATTCAAGAGCCGAACATTCGCTTTCAAAATCCATAAAGACACAAATCCAGGGAGATCTCCGACAACCCCAATGCTCAAAATGTCAGTCAGATCAACACAGAGAACAACAAGAATCCTTCCGCCTCAGCAGCACTAAATCTAGAAAGAAAAAGAACAAGAACAAGACAGACGAAAGATCACGAACCAGATAATTACACAATTGGGAACTAAAAACGAATCAAGCAGATGTCAAAAGCAAAGTAAAAGAAAACGAATTTTGGGAAGTGGGTACAGGTAAACGATGGGAAATTCCAAATTCCAAATTCGAAATACGATCGCAAGTAAAACAACGAAAAGGGGTCATACAAATTCAAAAGGACAATAAGCTYAGACAGTCCAAATTCATCAATTAATGGAAATGGGAATGGGAACGTACCTTCTTCAAAGCCCTCCCCACGCAGAAGTGGAAGGTTTGAAGAGGAAGAGGGGCAGAGGACACAGGATTGAAAAAAGAGAGACGAAATTGAGGAAATTGGGAAACCCTAAATCATGGAGGCAGTGGGAAATTTATAGACAGAAAGGAAAATCAAAGAATCAAAATCATGGGGAAGATTGAAGAAGAAGTGGGAAGAGGAAAATCAAAATCAAAACCACAAAAAAAGAAAAAAAAAAGAAGGAAATTGGAAGAAATTGGAGAAATTCGTTGGAAAGAAGAAAGAGGAGAACGTGGAGGAGAGTGATGGGGGCCACATGGCCGCCGCTGGGTTCGTAATCACCACACAGTACCCAGCCGGTCTCCCGCTGCTGACCGTCCGATCATCTCCGCCTGAGATGCCTAACGGCCTTGATCGATCCTTTTTTTTTTCTTTTTTTAATTCCTTCCTTTCATTTTTCCCTTCAATTTTCCTTATTCAATTATATTATATTTCTACAAGTGGTTAAACATTTTCTTAAACTTTTTTAATTTTTTTTCTTGTCAAATTACCATTTTAATTTTTGGCTCAAAGTGTCCATAGGCCAGCATTGCATATATCTCCAATTAGATGGTGTGAGTTTCTATTACCCCTATCTTTTCAATACAATTTTAGTTTTTGGACATTCGTGATGATGTCTAATAAATCTTTAAACTTAAAAAAATATTTAATAAGTTCTTATTCTTTTAATTTTGTGAATGGATTTTAACTTTAGCCGATCATGACGAAGAAATAAATTGATATTGGAAGAAAGTTGTATAAAAGCAGCGGGAAGAATTGCTCATATATTAGTAACGGGAAGTTTTAATTTCTACTAAATTTTAAAATTTTAAAAAACATTTTTTGGGAACTTTTTTAAATGTCACTTTTTTTAGTTTTAAAATTTAGTTAAGAACTTAAATTTATTTTTGACAGTAAATGACAACGTAAAATTTAACCATATAAAAAGTGGTAAAATAAAAATACACTCTATAGTATCATTTTAAATATTTTTTAGTTGATATTTATTTAATTAAGGTACTGTTGGTGGTTGATCTACGTCACGTGTCAAGTCCAGGGTAGGTGCGCTGTCTGCGACACGTGGCTCATGGAAATTTAAGCTCTTAAGAATTCGGCTCAGTACCATCGATTGAGCCAACCTCATGAAGTGACCGAGCCGAACAAGTTATATTCGGTCTATGTTCTAGCAAACATATGCTGATCGGTTGACTTTCCTCAGTTCGGTAACCTTAAAGAGTCGTTGAAGCTGTGTCGGAAATGCTGTCGGAGGTTTTACCAATAAATAGGATCATTTTCTTTATTTGAAGGTACGCAATCCAATCAATTTTCTCTCGAATTGACTTGAGCATTTGCTGACTTTAGTATCCGAGTTTCTACTCTGTTTTGTAGGTCATCTTCACAGTTTCCAGAGCCAGCCTTCCAGCCCATCTGTGCCGAACCAAAGCCTGGAAACTTGGTCATCTTTTTGGTCAAACAAGTACAAACGAACAAAAGATACTAAATTAGCCTTTGCAAAAAAAAAAAGAAAGAAAAAGGAAAAAAAAAATCTAAATTATATGTAAAATGCTTGAGTAAAATAATTAAAGAAAGTGAATGAGAAAAAAATGGCGAAATGAAGAGAGAAATTTTATCCCCTCAACGTTTTTATATATTATATATTAGATAGATGGTTGAAATTTTAGTATTTTAAAAGAACGGTAAAGAAATAAATACTGATTATTTTAAAATTTTTAAAAAAAAAGAAAATTAGATGTCTCCAACTTTAAACATATAAAATAACAACTAAATTTTATAGTTTTTTATGGATAATAATTTTGCCCAACGTTAATATAACTCAATTCGGGTTAAGATATATATCTCATTTAGTTGGAGGTTCAAATTTGTTGAACTAAAAAAATTAGGAATATAATAATAATAATAATAAAAAGCATTGTTGTTTTATAGATACAAAATTTAATTTTCAATCAATTAAACAATATAAATAAGTAAAAGTTATATATGTATTTTTTTTATCACATAAACACTGCATTAAAAAAATAGGACCACTTAGGGTTACATTAGAAGAGTGGTGATCATGCACCATAATCAGAATCCACGAAGTAAAACGACTATTCCAAAGGATAGAGAAAAAAATTAGAAATGACACACTTGACCAATAAAACAATTTGCCTATTCAAAGAATTAAGAACGTGAATAATTTTAACCCACTAAATACCTCCTTCAAAGTCACAATATCATCAACCTTATTCTATGACGTTGGGAGAGACTCCTTAATTAATGGAGGAATCTTGTCAATTATGACACTCATATTTAAAATTGGAAAGGAAATAATTGTTTCCAAAGTTACCGTATTATCCACCATGACAGGTAAGGAAAGATTAAGCAAATTCCCCAAATCATGCTGGTCACGGATCTCAATACAATTAACACTAATTAATAGTCTCCACAGATGCCAAAACGGTGTTTGAGTCGATCTTCGCTGCACCTCCCTCGTCGCCCACCTTTTGCTTTGTCATCTTTGCCTCTGGACCATAGAAATTCTCTAAACTATGATGCAACTAAGATGAAGAGTCATCCCAAGAAATTGCAGGCAGGTGCCTTCTCCAATTTAGTACCTGATAACTCTGTAAAACGCTCTGATGACAAAGCTACAAACCATACATAACAATATTGTCTTTGATTTTGTCAGATGCAACAACACTATTGACATCCAACTGGGAGATCCTCGACACACAACCATAGTCTACCATCACAGAAACCAACGGGAAAAAAGGATCCTCCCGAAAATTGCCTCCATAGCAACAAGAGAAGAGATGTCTCTGTTACATCTCGATCCACGCTACTTCTTGAAAAAAAAAATGAACTTGAATAAAGCAAAGAGAAATACCTTTGAAAAAATGGACTAAGAGAAAATACACACCTTGGCTACGAGAGAGAACTTTGCGTGGGAGTGTAAGTTATATACGTTTCATAATTAATATTAATATATAAAAAATAATAGGATTGTAGGTGGGATCAAATGATTTGACAATTAATTTTAGATTTTTTTTTTTTTTTTGGTTAGACTTAAAATTTGATTGTTCAATAGTTTTAACGTGTAATGGACAGTTATTAGTTGTTTTTAGACGTTGATGACATCCACGCCTCATTTATATTTTATAATTTGAAAATAAAATTTTCAATTACTTACTTCAACTTGCAAGTTGCACCCACTTTCAAAAATATTTATATTGTGTTTTCCTTTTTCCTTTCTAAACCTAATATAATATAATCCCTAATATCTATTATGTTATACAAATTCATTTCAAATATTTTGTCTTTACTTTTGATTCGAGAAACATGTACCTTGTTAGGATAAGTAATATATACAAATTCTTTTAAATTTTCTTTCATCTCGACATAATTTATAAATTGGTCTCATTCTAATATGAAATTGATTTCATTAACAAACTAACATTTACTCTTCTAAGAGTCACTTCCTCCTCCTCGTCAACCCCACGTATCACAATTCATGACATTGACTACAATAATAATCATACAGGAGTTCGAACCTCCAACCTTAAGAGAAGATGCAAATGTCATTTAACGTTGAATTAAAAGCATATTTGTTTCCATTTAACACCTCAAAATAATGTTTCCCTGACTCAAAAACTTATTTCAATTTTATATGAAATTATTTCATTTTTTATTTTTGGCTCTCGCACCCTAATCATCAAATAACATTATTATTTTTATTTTTATTTTTTGAAAAATATTAGACTTAAATACTATTTTTTATAATAGATTTAAATATTGTTTTGGTTTATGTGTTTTCAATTTTGGTCCATTTGGTTATTATACTTTAAAATGTCTATTTTCATCCTTATATTTTCAACTATTGTTCATTGTAGTCCATGTACTTTTGAAACATCTGTTTTTGTCTCATTTTGGTTCTTCCATTTCTATTTTTATCTCATTTACTTTTACCAAAATTTCAGCATGACATTTCACCCACTAAATTTTTTAAAATATAGCCATAAATGTGTATGAAATAGTTTTCATTGTATATAAAATTTGTAAAAAAAACTTACAAATAGGTATCAAAATAATCACTTTTAAAAAATATAGAGATCAAAATAATATTTTAATCCAACGGTGGCTAGAAATTTGAAAATTCTACTGCTCTGGAGCTRGTCAATGGGCCAAGTGCCAACCTCTTTCTTTGTTAATTCCAATGTCCAAAATATTCCAATTTTATTTAAATAATAATAAAACTAATTTATGAAGATTCCCCAATCTGTCTCTAAAATTAATACAAAAAGAAAAGGAAGAGAGGGTTCCATGTGACTTTACAACTTAACCTATTTCATTTCAATAAAATATATTCCTTTTCACATCTCAATATTTTTATGAATTCAAAAACTTGATATTGCTATATATAAATGAAATTAGAAAATATGTAAGCAGGTTATGTCGAGTTCAGTTCAATCGAAAATAAATTTCTTGAAAACTGAAATGAAAAATCAACCGAATCAACAAAACTGACCAAAATTGAATTCAAACGAAAAATCAACTTAATCAACAAAACTAACCAAAATTGAATTGAATTGAAGATATTAGAATGGTACAAAAAAAATCGGTGACATGAAGAACTCAAGCAACCCAAACTCAAACTGTAATAGTGATTGGATTGGGATAGTTAAACTTTTTGTTTGGCTTGGTTATGATTTTTAAGAATCGACCGGTTCGATTCAGAAAAATTAAGTTTGATTCAACTAGAACATGATTTTAAGAATCAATCGTTTTAGTTCGGTTTCAAGTTCATAAAAAATAAAAAAAATATATTTTTTGGGATATTAGCTTTAGATTTTTAGTTTAAACCTTTCCCACCTCTTTCAACTTTAGATTTCTCGCCCCTCGGTAATAGTTTATTTCGATCTTACTATCGTCGGGATTTTGTTTGTTGATGCATAATTTAGATCCTTTACGATTCCATCAAATTCGCACCAATTATTAATAATGAAACGAGAACAAACGTCAACCGGCAAAACAAATAGCACTGAACACTAGCACTTAACACCGGTATGGTGTTAGCCACACAGGCTCTGATGCTTAAGTTAGAATCAGGAACTGTCGAGTACTGAGAGTAGGGTTATTCAGCGTACCTTTAGGGTTCAGCTTATTCTCTAAGGTC